GTAACAAGCTGAGTTAGTGTTTCTCTTCTTCATACTTTAGATTCTTTAGTGTTAGATTTGTAGATCTATTTTGTAATTTTTTTTTTTTACATTTTCAGTCTAGTGTAATCCTTTGTTTTGTTAATATGAGTGTGTTTAAGAAAAATAACACCATGTACATGTCATACATATACACCACATGTATCAAAACCATCCACAACAAAATGAACATAACAAATGCTATCCTTCATTTAAAATACACACCAAATTGTATAATCACATACATTTCATATAGAAGTCTTATGAAGAGATATAATAGTATAGGGCAAACTAAAACTAAAACTGGATTATTATGTTGCCTTTGAAAACATCTACATATCATATCATATACTCACGATCAGTTACTAACCATAGTAATCATCATAGGCGGTTCTACCTCGGCTGGGTAAGGGGCCTTTGCCCCCAACAAAAAAAAGTCACTTGCACTTGAATAAAAGTCGTAAAAATGAAAATTCTAAGCCCAAATTTCTATATTACCCCCAACCTTTTACTTTAAAAAAATTGCGTCACTATTATACTTTATTGTTAAATGTTATAAAATTTGTAGTTCTTGAATTAAGTAGGTTGTGTTGACATATTGTAATATTAATTAGCGATTGAAATGTATATAATATATTCATACCAGCTTTAGCACTCAACCATTAATAACACTTAGTGGACATAGGCATCGGGTTTCCCATGCGTCAAATCGACCCGACCCCCAATATCTTTAACGCATGACTTGTTAAAAACAGTATTTTAAAATATGCTAACTCGAGCTCAACAGTTGAGTGTACAAAATATAAATATTGTCCCCTGGTACAAAAACAATCGGATCCATCATTGATACTCATACCTGTACTTCTAAATACATACCCACACATGTTACAGATCGACTGGACCAAAACAAAATTATCCCAGAACTGAACATATACGAAACCCAAATATCATATCTGCAATAAATTTAAGAATACAATATCTAAATGAAACGATTAKATACATCTTCTTCTTCTTCTTCTCTCAGAAAATCAAGAATCAGCTCAATCGAAGTTGTAGTCAATTTCAGTGTGATGTTATTGTCTAAGATCCGACCGAAACCAAAATTAGGTTAATTAGGTTCGTATCACAGAGAATTGTATTACAAAACTACAAATCTCAAGCTTTTCATATCACACTTATTTCAAGAAACGAATGCTTTGTTACGAATGTTACAAACACAATGAAATTTTCTAATTTTCCAACGACATTGTGAAACATGTTCATATATTTCTTAGCTGCTGATTTAACTCCATCTCAATACCAGACACTAAACCAACATATTATGGTATAGATTGAACATTAAAAAACACTGATTCAACAAAGCAACCGTACCTTTTATTTATTGTTAAATTCCTTGAATTTGTTATTTTCACTCGAGTCTTGACTTCTTCATTCTTCAAGACTAGTTTTTTTCTTTTTAATTGCTAAGGGGTCGTTTACTAAACACTTAACCGGTAAGTGTTGATCGGGAAACTTTCCTCACCTGATGCACATGACAAGGGCCGAACATCTTACCCGGTAAGAGCGATAATAAGGATAGAGAGTCTTACCTGGTAAGTGATGGTGAAGACTCTTACCCGGGTAAGCGTTTACCGGGTAAATTGTTGCATATCATACCATTTCTATATACTACAATCTTATCTGGTAAAATAGATTATAGTGTTGATTCCTACGGTAAGCGCTTACCGGGTAAGTATTTGGGTAAACGGCCCCTAAGTTGTTACTTCTTCATCCATATTTCAATTCAAACTTGGGTAATTCCCCACGGAGTTCTCATCCTTCACAAATGAACTATTATAGCATTTTACGACAAGTATGTTATATTCTTTCTCTTTTTCTTCTTCTTCTAAATTCAGATATTTCTCCATTCATTCTCTTTTTTCTCTTAATTTCAGAGAAATGTTTTACATAGCTATTGGAAAAAAATGTTGTATCAAAGAAAACAATGTTAAGTAGGTCGAAAAACCTATGAGTCATTTACTAAATGTTTACCGGGTAAGCGCTTATCGATATCATTTACCTTACAGATTGAGCATGACAAAGACCAAAAAAATCTTATCCGGTAAGAGGCATAAGAAGGACCAATAGTCTTATCCGATAAAAAGGGAAAAGACTCTTACCCGGTAAAGAGGGATTTTTTTTACTTAGGGGCCGTTTACCTACGGTTACCCCGGTAAGTACTCACCGACAAAATTCAACACTGTCAATTACTTACTGGGTAAGTGTTAACCGTGGTAAGAGTCGTCGACGTCACGTACCGGGTAAGACTCTCAGTCCTTGCCTTCGCTCTTACCGGGTAAGATTCTTGGTCCTTGCCATATTGATTCGGTAAGGTAACGTGACTTGGTAAACGGCCCCTTAGTAATTAAACTCTTATCAGGTTTAAGAAGCTTATCAGTAAGCCATTTTGATGATTGAGATGTTACATGATAAGGTAAGTGAAGGCAACTTCTCTTGCCATTTGGTAAACTGGAATGATTTTTATCACGATTATCAATAATTAAACTGTTTTAGGTTTTTAAAAATTGATGAATGTGATAACGGTTCTTGAAAATTAAATATTTTAACATTAATTTTTAAAATTCACTAATCAAATTAAAAATAAAATAGAACGCATTGTCATTCATTATATTTTGTCAACTTTAAAACAAGCCATAAAATTTGATCATGAGAAGTTGAAAACTATACTCTAGTTAAGGCCCATATTAATCAATGGGCCTTCATATAATGGGCTTTTGGGAATAAATTATGATGATCTTTTTTTAAGTCCAAGATAAGTCAATTCTCATATCTATACTATATTATAAAGCATTTGACAAAAACTTTTAAAAACCATTTTTATGCATGAAGTACTGTTTATTGATGCATATTACTTAAAATTCAAAATTACAAGTAAATTTTGCGTAAGTACAACTTATTAAAGCTTCATATTTGAATTTGTATAACTAACTGCAGATAAACATAATCAAATAGAAAATAAATATCTCATTTTAAATATAAAAAATCTAAAATATAATTAGGATAATCATTGAGTTATAACAAAATACTTAATTATTATTTTTATAAAAAAATATA